ACATATGCTATAAATGCATTTATGATGAGAAAAATCCGAGTTCTTTGTATACTATTTTTACTTTTGATCCTTTTATAGAACTTTGTCATTGTTCAGTGTATTCCCCTGTTATATTTATATCAGTGCATGTTGGAACTTTAGAAGAAACAAGCATAGGTTTTGATTTCGTATTAGAGGGCAATATACAACTTTTGAGGATGGACAAGTAAAAAATTGTCCTGCTGTTAACAATTTTGTTTTGCCTTTCAAAATTAGTATAAGCTGATGCATTACTACTGTGGAATCATTCTGAATGAGGGATGTTTGTTGGCAACGGTTACTATCATATTTACGTTGTATGTTACTCAAAAATATTAAAGAAATATTTTGTAAATAAAAAGTATTATTCAGCTCAGTTTCTTGATAATAATAAAGATCACATTGTTTTTCACAATGTATTCAAAAATAATTTAGAAAGAATCAATTTCCATTTGTCACTAAATTTACGGTTGATCGTGGTATGTAATATATACTTTTATATTTACAATTTTATTATTTTTCTAAAAATAACAAAACATTAAAAATCTTTTCATTTTTCCCTACATTCATCATTAATATTTGTATTTACAGAACAAGTTAATTAACAGGACTTTTTTTCTTTCTGATAGGTGTTTTTAAGAGTGGAAAATGAAGCATGTCAAAGGATGATAGATCTTGTGTATTTTGTATTTATGAAAAAACATTAACTCCCCTTTATCCTCAAAATTCCTTTACTCTTTATGGCGTGTGGGTTTGGACGTTGTCATGAAGAAATTTAATGTAGTTGATTCCTGATTCTGGTTCTATCCTCTCATAAACGATTTGATTGTTTTGCAAAAAAAATGTTTACTAGACTTCTCTAGAAATTGAACTGCCTTCTCAAATAAGATATTGAACAACAACACCAACACGGTATATCTATGAAAATGACACTTAGACCCTGGTTATTTTTTTTCAAGTGCCCTAGTAATTGTATTTCGAATTCCTTTCTATTTTTCCTTTTGCTAACCATACAAGCTTTATTCTGTTTCAGTCATTCGAATTGTTGATTTTATAATCTTTTTTGTTATCATTGTCAGTTTAGTAGACATTTTGCTAAGAGAGTAAACATACATGTAGATTGTTATTTTTTTTTAACTTTCAATCTCCTTACTTATATATCCCTGGTTCTGAATTGCACAATAACAGATATTTTTTTAAATCAATTGAAATATTCTCAAACATACTTAAGCATAAAAAAGTTCAGTCTTGCATTCCACCATGTTTCATGTTGAAATCTACACCCTGCATTTCCTACAGTTTCTTCCAACTGTTGCTTCTAAACTTTTAAATTATAAACACACCTTACAGTGTCGAGTGTTTTTTAAAGATTTAACAAACAAATCCAATCTTACTTGTACGATTTCATTTACTTTAAAGAAACACCATATTTTTTAGATCTCGAAACTGCCGTTTTACCAAAATAGCAAGATCAACAACGAATTGTTTGAAGTATTTTAAATATGAATATGGAAATTATTACTCTGAAAAATATTACTATTTTTAATATGTTAAACCAAGTCAAATCAAAAATAGAGTTTGTTAGAACATTGAACATTGTTGAAATTGCTTTATTCTTTACATATATTTATATCTATATATAATAGCTCATAAACAGGTTTAATTACAAGGCCGACTTTAGAACTTACAAAGTGATGAATTTAAACGAGAATGCAGATATAATTGCTTTATCAACTTGTTTGTCAATAACTTACCTTGTTTTAAAATTTGTACTTACGTACATACGTAGAACATGCTCTTAAGTATCGAGTCAACTGAGATATATAAACTCAGTATGCAGGTTATGAAGGTATATTGCTTCGAATTCAGAAGTAAGGCAAGTTGACGTCTGAAAAGTTCAAGTCATTCTTGTTCACGGCAGCATATTCTAAATGTTCTACGAGTGGTATAAATCAGTTTTTTTGAAACACCCCAAATCTATAAGAAAATTGTACTTCGTAAATAAAAGCGGAATTCGAAAATTTTCAAATCTTGTTATTGATCATCAACAAAATTGCTTTGTAAAAAAAATTTTCATCCTACACGTAAGTGATCGGAAATAAATATTAAGAGGATGGCAGAGTTTTTCATTGACATATTTATTTAATCTTCGGATACCGTACATATACATGTACAGGTCTATAGACTCCATCAAACCATCCCACTTTTGTAATGCCGATGGGCACAGATTGTAATCCTTTGTTTTGAACACATTTATGCCCCCGTAAACAAAGTTTTTGGGGTATATGGTTTTTGTCGTGTCCGTCTGTCTAGCTGTCTAGCTGTCTCTCTGTCTGACTCTCTGTTTGTCTGTTTGTCCGCAAAAACCTTGCTCATAACATTTGATTTAGTGGAGCTATGACTTTCATATTTTATATGTAAATTCTTTGTGACAAGACATTTCTTTGGATACCACCAAATATGACCTTTTCACCTTGGAGTTTGGCATACTTATAAAAAGAAAACCTTGACATCAATTTTAAAGGGTAAGGGATAGTGGATTCATACTTTACATATTTTTATATTCGTGACGTCTTTGGGTACCACCATAAGAACGTCTTTGGGTACCACCAAATCTTACCCTTTGACCTTGGAGTTTGACGTACATTTCAAAATTGGTAACATTGACCATAACATTTGAAAGGTTAGGGCTAGGGCTTCCATATTTCACATACGGTATGTATTTTGTGTAGCAAGACCTTTTTTTAAATTCCAATAACCTTGACCTTTTGATCCTGACCTTGGATAATTTCGTACTTATGAATAAACTTAAGCCTTGGCCATATATTTTGAACGCTAAGGGCTAGCGTTATCATACTTCACATACGTAATCCTTGTGACAAGACATTTCAATTGATATCAAGAATTATGACCCTTTATCCTTGACCTTGGAGTTAGACCTACTTTTCAAAATCGGTAAACTTGTCCATAACTTTCGACGGTTTAGGACTATGGCTTCCATACTTCACATACGTATTCTTTATGGCAAGACCTTTCATTTGATACTAATTGCCTTGCCGTGGAGATTTCTGTACTTATGAAAAAACTTTTACTCGGCCTACTTTCATATTTCACAATTGTATTTCCAGTGAGAATACCTTTCTTTGGATACCAATATATTACATTTGCATATAAGAAAAGTTTAACCTTCGCTCTGTTGCCATACGAGGCATCAGTGTTTCACAAACACATCTTGTTCAATGGTTGAATCCGATAGTCATCCTATATGAGACACTTCAAAATTATTATCAAGCCGAAAAGTTTTTTTTTAAAAAAAAAAGCATGGCAATTACCCAAAACAGATGAATTGGACATACTGGATTTCTGTTTGTAATAGGTAGAGAATAGACATGGTTGAATTTCATTTAAAATAAATATTGTTGCCGAATTTCAAACTTCACTAAAATTCTGTTTAACACTTTTGATAATCTTTTTTTTTTGTATTGCACATTATCACGATTGATGGAAAATATTTTAGCACGCTTCTTCAAATCCTTTGCTCAGTGGTGTTCTACGATTGTTCATAACATCGTTTTACTCTCCCTCAAAACCCTGGTATAAAAAATAATATAATAGTATTCAATATCAAAGTCCATAAAACAATACAAAATAGGAACAGAGCAAACACGGACCTTAAAATTATTTATCTAAAAAGAACCCAACCGCTACGTACTATCTGTTCAAACTTCAGGATGATTTGGATAGTTAACTAATTATTGCAATTTATACAATTACGGCCCTCTTTTCTGTCAAAAATTTCATGTTTTTGTGTCATTTTTTAAATGAAAAGAGACTTTTGTTGTCAGTTGACTGCTGGCTAGGAGTTCATACGTTTAATAATGTAGGTATTCCATGTAGAAAAATAAATAAAAACACAGTGCTACAGATGCACCATATAAAATCTCTTTTATGAGACAACAATTTATATAATATTCAGTATAAAAGCTTAAGTAATTAGATATATATATATATATATATATATATATATATATATATATATATAATATATATAGATAAATATATTATTAATAAATATCTACATCATTATCAAACACAGATCATTCAATTGCAAGAAATTTACAAATTCAATCAGATAAATTTTATTATATACAATATATTGTGATTTGGACAGTTAACTGACGGGGTATAGCTGTATATTGTCGTACGATTATTAATTTTATTGCAACCAAGTAGCCACGGCAGTATAAATAACATTCACATCCAGCAGGTGACAGCAGTGCATTTAAGTATTTCAGTCTATGCACTAAGAAGTCATATAATTATAAAGGGGCTCTGGAATTAAAAGTGTAGGCTGACAAATTTAGTGGAGAATGACAAATCATTTAGTTTTACCAATTGTGAACATTGTCTGCATTGATGTTAATTCGTCCATATTACTATCAAACTCTCGGTCTTTCAGTACTTTCATTTTTTAATATATATACATGTATATTGCCTTGATTTGATTCACCTGAAATAACAATCAAGCAGAGAAAACTTTATTTTGACCCAGACATATTTTTCATGCAATAAATTTCGACACTCCATTATTTGTTTTGTTTATCCTGTGATATTTAATTTTAGAATCGTTGTGAGATAGAGATTTCGTTGGCCTTACATAAAGTCAAAACTTTTGAACTTATGGGATTCATGCGATTTTTATTTAAAGGAAGCAAGTGAAAGCAGGAATAAAAGAATCAGTGATATGCATCTCGAAATTGAAAGGCTAATATTCAAGGAACATACATTTTATTGTGGTTAAGGTAAATTGTGACAAGCGATATTTGATATCGATTTTTTATACCGGGAAACAAGAATAGAACAGGTAAACATACACTGACATTCGATAAGGAAATGTGATTTTTTAAAAATCAAACTACAGAGAACAAATTGAAACTGGTTGCCTTTCAGTTTGTAACAAACATTTTGGCTGAGTATGGTATATTCTTGGAATAAATCTATTGTATCTGCTTGGATTCCTTAAATGAAGTGTTACACAAATCTACATTGTACCTTCAGAGGTAAGTTTTGTAATTTTCTATTTCCTAATAACTATTAAATGACCCTTTGGGGGTATCAACATTTATTCCATGTTTTCACCTTTATCCTTTGGATATAGCTCATGCAATATCGTTTTCATATCCCACACTTACGTGCAGTTATAATTTCACAATGGTTTTTGCGTTAACTAATTGAAGACCTTCAGTATAAAAACAACATTTTCCTTTGTAATTTATTTTTCAGAGAAGCATTAAATAATGGCTATGGCATCCTCCCCTTACGCTTCTACAGGGGAGACGACAAATGCCTGTAGAGCCTGTCGACTTCTTCTGGGTCCATGTACAGATCAAATGAGGGATGTTTTACGTCATTATATACCACCTACAACATTCCCATTCGTCATAGTTAGACAGAGGAGTAATCTTCCACGTCTGACAGCTCCGCAAAAGAATCTGATTTTACCAAGAGGCAGTACATATACTGGATACTACGAGGATATGGATATTCCTTTATTGTACATACTACTACGAAACATGTGTAGTATACCACCACACACCAATGGCTGGGGAAATGATCCAGACCCAACTGACAGATCTCTCTCTGCCAACATTGAAAGGATTCGAATTGCCAGAAACCAGTGTGTTCATTCTTCTAGTCCCGCCCTATCCAATGCTGATTTCAACAGCGTCTGGTCCACCGTCAGATCAGCAGTCGTGGACCTTGATTCTGTCCTTAACAATAGAAACCAATATGAAAGAGAAGTTGATTTTCTGAGACATGAGACAATGGACCCTGTCCGAGATCTTTACTTCATTGAAGAACTGAGAAAACAAGCAGCAGAAGACATAGCTACAAGAGAAAGAGTTCATAGCATAGAATGTAAATTTAACAATTGAAGTATAAATGAAACATGGTATCTTATTTCAATGATTCAATCTGATAATTATCTGTCACTATATATTACATGGACATTTTTTATTTATTTCAATTATTTAAAGGTAAAGTAGAAGTGATGGCTAAAAATCAAAGTGTTCGAGAAAATACGATGCAACAGATTTCGGGCAAGTGGCAATATTTATACGTCCTAACTGATTAAGTATTTCAATGCTTTATATAAAGGACCCCATACTATACGCACCCGCTAAACAAAAAAGGAGGTAACTTCAAAAACCTCTTTTTCCATGCTCAATCACCTGGTTTTCAATTTTTAAAATCCATGTCATAAATCACCTTATCTTTCGCTGATTCCAGAACACTATATCTTTAAACTGTGTACAAATCATATATCAAATGCTGAATGAAATAAATTAGAGGAGCCATTTTTATTTTGGAAAACCCTATTTATTCTTGTCCTCTGTAAATTGATTGTAAATCAATAAATAAAGTTGAAGTTGATATGTAATAGCAGTCCTATTTTCACACCCGATTTTGATTTATAAAACGTTTTAAATTCTGCAGAGAATATAAGTACTGTGCCGTATGTCTGGTCAACTTGGAAATTACATACATATCTTAAATATATACTGCTTTACTTGTTTTGACATAGAATGTCGTATGGCAAGTGAAATTAAAGTAAACACATCAAGCAAAATGACAGCTTTGTTTGTATAAAATGGTTGGAACGCCATTGAGTTTAAACAGAACTACAACAGAATGATGAATTATGTAGCGAAACCTTGAGTATAATGGACGAAACCTAGAAAATATATATATCAAGAAAACATTGATGTAACCATCAACTGTCGCCCGGGAATTAAATGAAGTAAACAATGGAAATGAGTCTTGATCATCAAACCGCTTCGATATGTGTGAAAAGGCATGCGTCTAATTGATGGAGACAATAGTCGCGAATATTTTGAAAACTTATAGTCGGATAAAAAATCAAACAAAAACAATACCATTTTAAACTTGATCAATTTCTCAAGTAAATGTTGGCTGCATAAAATATAAATTAAAGTTATCACATGCATCACCTACATTCAAAATGTATTAAATTTTAATCATAGAATATAAAACACGAACTGTTAAGAGTATGTTTTTATGCGGGAAGTAAAATTCGATGTTCTAAAAAGGGGGGGCTGTCGTTTTTTCGATAGTAAATGATAGCAACTTTATAAATTAAATATGAAAAACATATATATTTTTACAGATTCACTTTATTTAAATAAATATATTATGTATCTTGTAATTTAAAAAGGAAAAAACATTCTGATTAACATTTTTTTCAATGTTTAGAAAACCTTAAATTCTGAATAACTTCTCCCACTCCAATTCCCATACACCAACACTTAGCCGGTCCTTATTTATTTCTTTACAATCTGCTTGCTAAAAGGCTCTCTGGGTCAACTAAGAGGATAAGTGATGACCTAATGTGTGTTAAATTTTGTGAACATTGCTATCAAAGTTTTACATAAAATAAAACATGTAAAGTATACTTTTTTAAAAATAATATGCATGTAACCCTATGAGTTTTAACATAACAAGGGCTATAATTACAACACTATTTTTATTCAAATTTACTCACAAAGTTCTGCAAGAATGTACAGTAAAACTCGGGTATAACGAAGTCGCTGGGACCTATGAAATCACTTCCCTATAACCGTATAAAAAATTCATTAAATTTATATAGCTGGTGATTCAAAATGACTTCGCTATATCCGTAAATTCGCTATATCAGTGTTCGTACTTAACGAGTTTTACTGTACTTTTCTTTTAATTAATGTCACTGACCATCCTTTTAGTATTGAAAATTCTAATAGAAATCAAATTATTTAATGGTTGAAAAGAATATATAAATACATGTACATGTATGATTGATATATGTTTTTATCTTTTTTCAGATAAAGTAGCAAAGTTTAAAAATGAAGCTATTCCATACAATGTCAAAGGTAAATTTTATAAGCAAATACAGTGTGTAATTGCTATAATACCTGATATTGTGCTCGTTTTAGGTCAAAGGTTTTGATTATTCTTATCTATTACATACTTAGTAATAAATACAGGATTTGCGTATGCGTTAGGCCTGACTTCATAATTAAAATGACCAGGTCACGGTCCACTAGTTCAAAGGTTCACTAGTCCGAAGGCCCACTAGTCCGAAGATTCACAAGTTTTAACCCTAATACCGATATATTGTGCGTACATTAAAGTGTTCACACTATAAGTCTCTTTGCAGGCCCGTAGTATTCGGGGTAGGGGGGGGCTGCCCCCCTCCCCCATTTTCTCTCAAGATTACCTTTATTATTGGAAAAGGAAGCCCCCCCCATTTCACGACAGTGTAGTGTTATAAGGAAAATAACCCCCCCCCCAAAAAAAAAAGAATAGGATTTTCGAATTTGGACAACTTTTAATTTTCGGGCCTGTTAACTTTTCAGGCAGGTAAGTAAAGAATTTTTTTTCAGGTTGCCCCCCCCCCCCTGACTTTCAAAAACGATGCTACGTGCCTGCTTTGCAATTTTTGTCTATTTTGTACCTTAACAGGTTACTACTCAGGTTCCAGGTTCTTGAAATTCAGGCTACAAATACTGCGACGTAAGTTTATTAATAAAATTTGAAACTTCCATCCTATTTTCTGCATATTCCCAGGTCCCAATTTCTTTTTTCTATACCATTGATCGACTATGGTGGTCTTGTGGTAAGACACTTGCTCAACTCAGCTGTAGGTGCTTATGTGGACAAGACACCCCCCTTCCCGGAAAAATACCCCAGGCCCCAAGATACTTTTGTTCATCTTATTTCATTCATATCTAAATATATATGCAAATCCAAAAAAAATATATAACGTAGAATTTAGATTTTCAAAAAAAAAAATCATACCCATGGTTTTGTAACTTCTCTTTTTATATTGTCAAATACTGAACGTTTACCTATCTCACGGAAGAATGGCAATATCTTCAAAAAGTCAACAAGTCATTGTCATAGTCTTTAACTTTTTATTTGTAATTAACTTATCTATATAAACATAAAGTTTGTAACTTTTTTTCAATCGGAGTTGTGGGCCTTCGGACTATTGAACCTTCGGACTAGTGTGCCTTCGGACTAATGAACCTTCGAACTAGTGGGGAGACCCCAATGACCGGTCATATCAGCCCTATTGTGCTGATATGGATTTACGAGACTAATACGGATCATTGTCACAATTGAAACTAAAAAACAGCACTTGTGATAACACTAACATTGGAGGGGGGTTACACATTCTCTTAATTTTAAATTTTTGAATGTAAGGATAATCTATTTAATAAAATAAAAGATTATTTTCAAATTATGGATAAGACACATTTGAAATAGAAGAACAACAAACACAAACTGTATAAGACAAAAGACTGTGAAATGTAAGAAGTCCGTACAAGATTTTTTACTTACTTTCTTTTCAACTTAATGTGTATTGTATTCTATTAAGTATGCAATAACATAATGATACATTACCCTTTCAACATCACATCCTGTATCAACCCTCCACCAAAATCAGCCCTCAGGTCCCTGGCCCTCTGGCTGATACAAGTGTCTCGGGCTGATACAGGTTGTAATATGGATATGTAAATTATTGAAACAGTTATATTAACAGAAACAGTTAAAACAAGAAATAAACTATCTGAAGATAGCGAACAGTGGTCCAGTTAAAAGTTCACAAAACAATACAAAATGTAGCATAGCAAACACGGACCTCCAAAACATCTAAACTAGGACCAGGTGCCATAAAGGAGTGAGCATTCCCTGCCAACAGTTCACAATCGCTGTGTGATCTTTGTCACGATCGGGAAAATGATAAATTGTATTTGCTGACAAGGTCATTGTATCGACCACAAAATTTACGAAATGATGACTTTTAAAGAGACTGTTGCTATTTTCGTTTCATCAACTTGTTTGTTAATAATATATCTCACATTTGAAAATGTTCATACGTAGAGCATTCTCTTTATATATTATATATATTTATCTCAACACGACTTACCTTTCAAAAAAAATGTTCGATACTTATTTTCAATTCTCACTTGTCAAAATTGAATTCAATTGAAAATACATGGTCTTCCATATGTAGCTCTTCACGAAAACGATATCCTACAGTGGAAAAGAGAGGACATGGTATTTTTTGAAACACACAACTTCTGTGGAATGCTGCAAAAAGTGAAGGAAAAGTCTTATGTTACGTTTGTTGGAGTCCCTGGATCTGGAAAAACAGCAACAGCTCGTCACATCGCCCTGATGTTACAACAGGAAGGGTATGAGGTTGTACCCATCAGAGAGATAGGAAAGATAGAGGACTACTGTGATCCAAAGAATCCGCAAGTTTTTGTTATTGATGATGTGGTAGGTGTGTTTGGACTTCAAGAAGTAAAAATGAACCTTTTGTTTGATTACAAAGATAGAATTATGAATCCAACGATGCCAAAGTCAAAAACCCTCATGACAAGTAGAGAAGCGGTGTTTAAAAAAACAATTGAGTCAAATTCATTTTATAACGATAAAAATACTATTGTTTTCTTACATAGTGAAGCTTTTGCTTTAACTATCGATGACAAAAAAGAAATACTCAAAAACTACCACATAGAAGAACATATGATGTCTCCCGCAAGTTTGACATCAGCATCAAAAATGTTCCCTTATATTTGTAAGCTGTTTTCAACAGATAAAAAATTTCAGTTGCATGGTTCTTTATTCTTTCAGAATCCAGTTCCATGCATTTTGAAGGAACTTGAAGAATTAAAAAATCAAAACAAAATTCACTATGTTTCTTTAGTGTTATGCATGATGAACGAAAACGAATTATCTGAGAAAATTCTAGAGGAAAGAGAAAATGAAGGAAACTTCAATGAAATCAAATTAACGGTTCTTCGAAAATGTAAAGTTAGTAGACAAACTGATAATTTCCAATTTGTTGATGCAATGTCGGAAATGGAGGGGACCTACACAATTTTTTGTGGAACTCATTATAGCTTCATTCACGATTCTATGTTTGAAATTGTTGCATATCATTTCGGTTGTAGGTTTCCAGAAGTTATTCTGCAATTTATGAGCAGTAGTTATATTGCAAACTATGTACGACTTTATAGATTTCAAACAGAACAATCAGAATATAAAGTTATTCACCCGAGTGAGAATATTGGAAACAGTGTTAAATGTATGTCAGAAGGGAATGAAGTGTGCATTTATGAAAGAATACCGAAGGACAAAAACGTTTCATTTAATGTCGGGCCATTTGATCTTTGTATAAAGATAAGACAGGATCTTTATCCAATGTTAGCTGAGCATTTGTATAGAGATATAGAAAAAATGGAACTGCATGATGTTTTTATGAATAATGTTTTAAAACAACCTGAGGTTTGTGAGGCTTTCATTGAGGTGTTAAAGACGAAGTTGTATACTGAGTTGAAGTCTTTATTTTTATCTGTTCAGAAAGATGTGTCTAAGGTTGTGAGTAAAGGAGAAAGTGTAACAAAGGAGAGTGAGAAGATGAGTGAGTGGAGCAGGGAGAGGAAAATACAAACAGTGCTGACGAATACGTGGAGAAAACCAGAGATTGTTTATAGTGTCAGGGTTATTAGCTGGGTGGTTAATTATGGTCACAGTCAGATCCTAAAGGATATTTTAGAACAAATTGAATTACACAAGGAAACACAAGCTGCACTATTCGAAAGGAATTGTTTTAATCCTGATTATAGGTTTATCATAGGAAAAGGGGAGGTAAGTCCACAAACTCCTGAACAATACCGCCTATTACTACTAAGCTGTTACAGTGGTGATTTAGAAACTGTAAGAATTTTACTAAAATATGTGTACAAGAATTCAATTAACGAAATATTCAGAGATTTTGATGATGATTATGTGTGGTCTGACACACCACTGACAGCAGCTTGTAAGAATGGATACATTAGTATAGTAAAGGAGCTGCTGGAAGCAGGGGCTGATGTCAATCTACAAGATGAGGATGATACACCACTGATTGCTGCATGCAAAGGTGGACATTTCAGTGTAGTAAAAGAGCTGTTACAGGCGAAGGCTGATGTCAATTTACAAGGGGAGGGTTATACACCGATGACAGTAGCATGCTCATATGGACATTTGAATGTAGTTAAGGAGCTGCTTAGTGCAGGTGCTGATATCAATGCACGAGACGACTATACTACACCACTAACAATGGCATGCATGTATGGACGTATTAATGTAGTTTTGGAACTGCTTGAAGCAGGCGCTGATATCAATTTACATAGTGAAAATAATACACCATTGCAAGCAGCATGTGAGCGTGGTCATACGAATGTAGCAAATAAACTACTAGATGTGGGGGCTGATGTCAACCCACAAGGTGTGTATATTACTCCACTTACAGCAGCATGTAGAGTTGGAGATAACACTCTAGTAAAGGAGCTTCTAAAGGCGGGAGCTTATGTCAATGTATATGGTGAGCATAATACACCACTTATAGAAGCATGTGAAGGTGGACATTTGATTATTGTTAAAAAACTCCTAGAGGCAAAGGCTGATGTTAATTTGCAAGGCGACGATAAAACCCCTCTGATAGCAGCAAGTGAGAATGGGCACCTGACAGTATTAAAGGAACTGTTAGAATCCGGTGCTGATGTCAATAAACAATATGAAGATCAAACCCCACTGACAGCAGCATGCAAGAATGGACATATAGAAATAGTAAAGAATCTTATAAAAGAAGGGGCTAAAATCAATCTACAATGCCTATGTGAAACCCCATTGATAGCTGCATGTAAATCTGGACATCTGGCTGTTGTTAGGGAGTTGCTAGATGCAGGGGCTAGTGTTAATCTAGGAGCAAAAATAAATTCACCATTGAACGCAGCATGTGAGGGTGGGCATCTAACTGTAGTTAAGGTTTTGCTAGAGGCAGGGGCTAATGTAAATTCAAAAGATTGTGTTGCTACTCCATTGACGTTGGCATGTGAGGGTGGACATCTGTTTGTAGTAAAGGAACTTCTAAAAATTGATGCAGATGTTAATCCTGAGGGTCATTACCATACACCACTGACAGCAGCATGTGCGGGTGGACATATAAGTATAATTAAGGAGCTGATAGAGATGGGGGCTGATATAAATCTACTATGCGGAGACAAAACACCACTCAGAACTGCAAGTGCTGGTGGTCACATGAGTGTAATAAAGATTCTGCTTAAGGCAGGGGCTAATATCAATCCACAGAAACAATATGAAACCCCATTGACAGCAGCAAGTTTTTATGGACATCTGTGTGTAGTGAAGGAACTGCTAGAGGCTGGCGCTAAGGTAAATCTACATGATCATTTGAAAACACCACTGACAGCAGCATGTGAAGGTGGACATCTGAATATAGTTAAAGAACTACTTAAGGCAAAAGCAGCTATCAATCCACATGGTCATTATAATACCCCTTTGACAGCAGCATGTGAAGGTGGACACGTATTTGTAACAAAAGCGCTGTTGGAGGCCGGAGCTGATATCAATCTACCAGACAAATTGAATACGCCACTAACAGCGGCATGTACGAATCGACACTTCATTGTAGTGAAAGAACTGTTGCAGTGGGGAGCAAATGTCAATTTACGTGTACCAAGAATTAGGAAATATTATACACCACTCATAGCAGCATGTGAGGGTGGACATAGAAGGATAGTAAAAGAGCTGGTAGAAGCTGGAGCGTATTATAACCTACATTATGGAAGTGATTCACCACTACTTATTGCATGTCATAAAGGGCACATGACTGTAGTGGATGAACTAGTAGAGACGGGAGCGGTTGTAAATTTTAAAGCAAACGATGAAACACCACTAACAGCAGCATGCAAAGGTTGATACCTACATATAGTAGAGAAGCTGATAGAAAATTGGGCTGATGTAAACCCACATGGGTACTATATTTCTCCACTAGCAGTTGCAAGTGAAAAGGGACATATGAAGGTAGTAAAAAAATTGATAGACACTGGGGCTAATATAAATCCAAGAGATAAATATAAGACACCATTATCAACAGCATGTAACGGTGGACATATGTGTGTAGTGAGAGAACTACTTGAGGCGGGAGCTGATGTCAACCTACAAAGTGAATTCCACACACCTCTGACAGCAGCATGTGACGGTGGACATTTAAATGTAGTGATGGAAATACTTGGTGCAGGCGCTGATGTCAACCTTCAAGATAAATTTAAAACACCTCTAACAACAGCGTGTGAAAAGGGAAACCTGGCTGTAGTAAAGGAGCTTCTTCAGGCGGGAGCTGATGTCAATCTACAAGATATACATGATACACCACTGACGGCAGCATGTAAGGATGGACATTTAGATGTTGTAAAGGAGTTGATAGAGGCAGGGGCTGATGTCAATAAACAAGATTGTCTTGGAAACACCCCTCTTCATGTAACAATTGTATATCAGATAGAGTTTGCAGTTCCGATTGTATTGATTCTGAACAAGTATGGTGCAGACTCAACAATCTGTAATAAGGAGAGTCTGTCATCATTGTGTGTTGCATTAATAGAAAACAAAACGGATGTTGTAAAACAATTACTACAAACAGAAAGAGAAAGTCAACTGAATAAATTAAAGTTACATTTCTTTAACTGTTTGGTTAACATAAGACACGGTGGCGTGATTTCTGATAGCAAAGATGATGTGGTGATAGCACAGCGACAAGTTTGGCGTATAGAAGAATTTGGAAATTTATATGACATAATCTTTAAAAGTGAGTGCATTGTTCTGAAACATTTATTGGAAATAGGACTGGATGTCAATCAGTTGGTTCAGTTATATGATGACTTTAACTATGAGTCTGAGGTCAGACCTTTGCTGTTTTTTCTTATTGATGAGATTGATACAGTAAAGGACAAGGTAGAGAAGGTGAAAATACTTCTTGATGCCGGGGTAGACGTAAATATCAGGGTTATGTATAGTACTGTTGATTCTGAATTAGGCGAAGATGATATCCTTGATTGGTCTAGTGATGAAGATGGCGATGGAGAGCATGTTGATGTGTTGGATAGAGAGGGTTTGTCTATTCTAGAGAGAACACGCCGAATGGTAAAGAAGTTTAATTATAACAAGTACAGGTATGGTGAGGATACAGTGTCTGAATACAGGACAGTGCTGAATGAAATTAGAAAGCATGTGAGACGATACTCTGTCTGAAAATAAAAATTTACAGAAGTTTAACTAGCGGGTAATTTTTTTAAATTCAAATCTTGTTACAATATGTATATATAGTCGACTTATGTGTATTTCTTTCTAAAGTTTATGTACAAATTATTATCCATTCTGAATGAATTCTTCATTGTCTCAAGCCCTTGTCCGGAGTCTGTATCTCTCCTACCTGTGAGCGCTTGGTCACAAAAAGTTTTTCAATTTTAAATATTAACGCCCGTATGTTGTGACATCATGTTTAGCCAGTGACAATATTTGTTTCCATCACAAATAAAATCAACACTAAAATAGATATACATGTATTTCGTTTACTGCGATTGGATATTAAAAGGTCGCGACAAAGTTCATTATCCGAGTATGATTTATTCAAATAGGTCAATTTTTTAATGAGCAACGAAAATTCTTCGTCTCTTAGAATTTTTATGTACAATATTGTTTTTCATCACAATTATTTAATAAAATACTGTTAAATCTTTGAAATATGTCTATTTTGTTATATTCTAAAACTAGACAAGTTTTACTCTATAGACTTCTAGTCTAAAACATCTCTGAAAATATTGTTTATACCTTGTTAATGTTTTTTTCTGCAAAATACATGTATGTAATTGTTTTACTCAGTGTTTACACTGTTTCTTTGTTATTAAAATAATATTTTAGTAATTTATGAATATAATATGTATCGTTCTATGAAGCATTTTATTTATACCTCTTGTAATATGGAATGAATATGTTGAAAAGTTATTTCTATTTTGGACGACGATAAGCAGTGTATGAGTATAAATAATTTTGTTATTAATTATTCATGATTGGTAAGCAAAAAAATGATTCATTTACAATTCATGAATAGCATTTTGGAAAAAATTAAACATAACCTTATAACTTTTTGTTCATAAAAAATGTAGTTTTGTTTTACTTTTTTAAATTCATTGTTGTGATCTTTGGCCCTATATGAGGAGGTGAATTAGTTTAAGTTTCGCAAAATAAATGTTTTTAATTTTTCGAATATTTACTTTCTTCCTAAGGAAATGACCTTAAAGGTATCCTTTCACTTTGGTCTAGAAAATTGTTCCAAAGATGCCGGGTGAAAGGGGGTTTGAATCTACTACTCTGAATATTATCATACCAAATCCTAATTCGTTTGAGGCAGGTTTATTTTTTTTTCTCTGCCATAAACATGAACACCCTTCAATCCGCCTTTTTCGGAGGAAAAATCGTCTCATTGTCTACACTGAAATTAAATTATAAGGAATTAAACTTACTTCAACTTTAGTTATATACGATATAACATAACTTTGGGCAGTTTATGTTTTTTTTTCATAAACCGCTACAAGGTTTATAAAGCGTAAACTGCCCCAAGTTATGCTATATCGTATAACAAAAGTTGAATTAAGCTTCATCCCTTAGATGTATATGCCATATCTCTAGATCATCTTCGCAATAAACTATTTGGTCAGTTATGATGAAGGATATGGAGATAACGAACAGTATCCAATATCACAGTCCATAAAACAATACAAAATAGGAGCAGAACAAACATGGACCTCCGAAACATCAGAGGTGGGATCATGTGCCATGGAGAAGTGAGCATCCCCTGCCGACTGGTCACACCCGCCGTGTGCTCCTTGTCAATATCGCTATTGATCGGGAAATAACGGAAAAATCCGTCGTCAATTCAATGTATAAATAATGGACTAACAATTATATTAGCATGAAAAACGTCATTCAGCATTTGACTGAAAGATAAATTGTATATGCTGACAAGGTCATTGTATCGACAATAGAACATAGGAAATGATGAATCTTAACGAAACTGCTGATATTCTTGTTTCATCAACTTGCTTAATTGTCAATAATTCACCGTTTTTTTAGAACTTATTCTTCATACGTAGAGCATGTCCTTGCATATCAAATCAAGTGAAATATATAAACTCCGTATGCAGGTGATGGGGGTATATTGCTGAATAAGTAAGGGAAGATAATGACAGAAAAGTCATCACGTTTATCATAGAGCTTGGTTATTAGATTATCATTAATATCTTTTTCGAGTAAAATATCAAACTATGAAACGGATGTATCAGACTCTCTGGTATCTTCTATCTCAAACTCACCAGGACACATCGTATCGACGTAGGAATGGAAATTACCAAGTTTTGTTAATTGACAATACGTTGTTTATATATCTAAGTGTTAAGTTGAGGGCCACAGCAATTGTTTTCTTCTTTTCACGTCTAAAATTTTGCAAAAATTCAATTTCAATAGAAAACAATATGTTTGCTACTAACGGAGAGCAATTGGTACCCAGTGGAATTTCAACAGATTGTTAAAAGACATGGTATCCAAAACCAACAAAGATAGTGTCAATCAGAAATTCAAGCATCAATTTGATGTCAACTTAAGAGTACTTTTGTGTGCGATCAGAATTTATTTGAAAAAAAAATAATTTAGCAAATGACCAATGACCAAGTAAGTATCTTAACAAGTAAATTCCATTTTTATTCAAAAAGCAGCTGTCAATGATATCAAAGAGCCCGGACTTGATTTAATCGTGGGGAATTGGTGTGTGTAAAGTTGAAAAGACGTTAGTTTTTAATTTGTTGATATTGGTAAAATCTTGTGATTTCAAATTGTCCAAAAGCTTTTTCGGGATTTTTTAGTATCCACATCTAATTCACACCACATCTTGAATATATTGTAGCACAGTACTCTTGAAGTTTTTCCTTCACTACTGTCAATATCTTAGTGAGGAGTAAAGGAATAGCCCGGAAAAGAGTATCCTTGGTTCATTGGAATACGTTTATAACACACAGTACAAAAAATAGAAATGTGACGTTGAACAAAGAGTGATCATTTGGAAAAATGCAAAAGAAGTGTGTTCTACTGATATATTTTCTGAAGAACGTTGGACAGATCATCGCCAACCTGAGGTATATATAAGGAGGAGGAGCAAAGTTGTTCGTAAAAGGCCTCGCCTTGACGCACAAAGTGTAGTCTCTAGGTCACTTCAAAATTGACCTAGAAAACGAAGTGCTGGTAAAAATTTGCTATCGTTCGACTACTGGACTTTTGCGAGTAGCACTGACTTTTACAGTTGACAGCTTACTTTTACACTAGAGCAATGTACTGAAACTTTTTACGATATAAATATTTAGCTCGCCATTTAATTTAACCAAAATAAGGGGATATTTTAAAGCATAAATCAACCATCCCACCCTCAACTCCCGGTCTTCACATGTTAGTGCCCCTAACAACATCAGGGGCACTACCTATGACCACTACAAAAGTTTTCTTTTCTATTATCAATTCTGTACCTCCGTGCAAGTAAACCGTGAACTGTAAAAATCAGTACTTCTTGCAAAAGTCCAAAAATCAAATCTTGTAAGTTGATGCACCTATGAACATCATATCATGTTGTCTCCAAAATAGGTCACGGTGAAACACTTTTTTAAAAAACATTAATTTTTCTTCATCTTATTTGCACTCCTGAAACCGTATACGGTTTCTTTGAATTTTTTAAAGGACTATTTGAAAAAGCTAAAGCAAGTCCATATATATAGTTGTATTCTTCAATACAAACGTATTTGTTTATGGATGTTGCCTGGTGCAAGCTGTTTAAGCCACCACATCACAGGTATCGGAAGATAATTTTGATTCTGCCCGTCGGCTTCTAAATTTAAATTTGCCAACAAAAGGATAGATGCTGTGAACATAACTCACATTCAGATTCTTGATCATAACAAAGTTCAGGCCAGGCTTGCATTCCACCATATGACACCCTGTATTTCCAACAGATATCCCTACACTTTTGCCTCCATACTTTTCAAAAAAAACAAACCCTACAGTGCTTATAGATATTGAATATTTGAAACAAAATCTTCTGTTTGAAGTGTTCTTGCTCTTCTTTTTCTTAATTCTTTCAACTATAGTCCAGCCAGAAACATTATTACTAATGAAGTTAACAAAGTAAGAAATGAAAAGCTAGAATTGATCGTTGTAAAAGGCCCTAAATACAGGTACATATAGACCGAATCTTATCACTGGCGACAGAACGTCAGAACGGCTGCGGGTATGACCGGTTAACAGGGGATGCTTACTCCTCCTTGACACCTGATCCCACCTATGGAATTCCCAGACTTCCATATTTATGATGAAACTGTGATCAGGTCCCTTTAAAGAGTCGTTTTAGAAGACAAAATGAGAACCATTTATCCTTCTGATTTTAATACACTGTATGGTTACAACAGACAAGGCTGCTAACAAATGCTGTCTTTGTTTGTAAGGCTTTTTATTATTATCACATGTAATGTGATTTTTGAAGAATTTTATCTTTGGAATTTATCAACTGCGAATATATGTAGGATTTCCAGATGTAGAATTAAAACCAATATAAATTCTTCCAAACTGCAGTGATAATGATATTACAAATTTGGATTTTATTCTTAATACTTACAAAAAGTTGCAATCTTCTTGTGCATTAATGACAAATATTAAAGTTCAAAACAATAATCCAGAAAATTCAGAGTAAAAAAAATTCGAAAGCAAAACATACACACAGAATACTGTCAGTCCGTGCAGTTGTGGTGAGCAGACTTTAACAATGGAACACACCCCGGGAATTGTAATCTTAACAAAAAAGGAGCTAGTGCCCTGTATACAAAAACTGTGTACGTTTCACAGGTGTGTTCAATTTGCTAAACTTTGTACATAATGTCCTTTCTGACATATTTTATTTTTCAAATAAAATCTGCAACATGACGAAAGTCGTCATGTTGTAGCTTTTATTTGAAAAATAAAATATGTCAGAAAGGACAATAACACTACGCGTGGAATGACGATACCTGTGAAGGGTTTTGCTTTCGAACATTTCTACACTGTTCAAATATAATTTTTTTTCTCACCTGGTTAAAGTTTAAATATTTCTCATTAATTCACAACAAGATTGCCACTTTTCCTAAGTATTAAGAATAAAATTAAATTTTGTGAAAGTGCAA